GCCCCATAGATAAAATGGAGGCCCTGTTCAAGTGGGCTAGGTCTAATGGGTCTCTATGCATCAGCATTGATTTGACAGCATTAAGATTATGATTTTGGTTTGGTTCAAAGTGAGCCAGACTTATTTTGTACCAGATAATAGCCCTTGCTCCTTTACCCCACCAAGAGAGCTTCACAGAGTTCTAGGTTCCTTTAGAGGACCCATTAAACCACGTAGTTTACTTTATGTTCATTAGTAGCTATTATATCCATTATCAGACAGGTAGATAATGAATGGGCATTTATCATACAACACACTTGTGCATCCATCAATGGATATTTTGGAACTTTTGAGGCAATAGGTAGAAACAGGAGACATAAATTAACTCACTCTATTCCCATCCAAGCAATTCTGGGCTCTAAGGCCCTAAATACCATCTGAACTCATGGTCTCTGATCTGGAACCAGATCTTGTAAATGTTGATTGCTACCAGGCCATTTGACTTCATGTCTGAGATTTTGGTGTTATGGTTTGTGCTGCAAAGAAATCTCAGTTGTCTATGGAATACAGGGTGAGAGTACGATTGATGGGGCAGAGAAGTGAGCTTCACAAGTAATTTGAAAGCTTACTGCCTCTGGTCATATTGCACCTAGTGCCAAAATCTGTCTATTAGTATCTTAAATAGAAAATGAAATTTACCCTTTTCCACTTTTTCACTCACCTCATGTGTTAGCACAAATGGGCAGTTGCGGGGAAGAAAGAGAACAAGAATTCTGGGCAATCCATCCTGTATAAAGTAGAAAGGGAGGCAGACAATTCCCGGTAATATCGGTCACTTGCTGCCAAAGCATTCTTCTTCCTTTACATCTTTATGTATTTATAGGTAGCCTGGGGGTAAATCTAAAGGACACGTGAATCTGCTGGGATACTATTTCCTCAATTTGCAATCATCAACTTGAAAAAAACAAAACACCACTTTTAATTGTTCTTGATAAAGAACAATCCATCAATAAAACAAAACACTATCAGATCCCCAAGGTAGTTCAAACAGTTCGTACTAGAAGGTTAGGGGTTTGAGCCCACCCAGAGGTACTGAAGAAGACAGGCCTGGTGGTTTCTTTCTGAAAAACAAAACTAACCAAACCCAAACAAAAACCAGATTCTGAAAAACCAAGGGAGTTCAGTTCTCTGACACACATGTGGCCGCCTTGAGTGAGGGCTGACTCTACAGCAACTGCCCTGGTGAACAGCTGCTATTACATTCTAGTGGAATATTTAATAGCCAAATAGTTATACCAAAGATGTTTGATCATCATTTTCCCTATGTGAACTGCATAGTAGGCCCTCTGTGATAGATGTCTTGGGAGCCTTAGAGGTGACTCCTCAGGAGGGTGTCACTGAGAAGAGAGCACTGAGAAGTTGCACAAAGAACAAAGGAATGAAGAGTCAGCAGGTTGACAGAAGGGCGTGCAAGGACAGAATGTTGACAGAAGGATGTGCATGAACAGAAGGTTGACAGAAGGGTGTGCGCGTACAGATGGCTGTCAGAAGGGCCTGCACGGGCTTGAA